CCCCCCCCCCCCCAACAAAAAAAAGAAAAAAAGAATGAGGATGCATCTAACAACAGGTCATGGTTAATCAGAAATTGTGTTTTGTTATCCATTGGCTGGCCCCCAAAAAAAAAAAAAAAAGTTAAAAAAACGAAAACAAAACAGAAAGAAAAAGAAAAAGAGACATTATCTACATTCCAGCAGATTCCAGTCAGAAACCAAAGAAAATCCTGATACCCCCGCTGCCTATTTGAATAGTTAAGTGCCTGTATGGACGAAAACTCTCAGAACCATCATCGAACTATCTATTGAACCACGGTTCTGCTGCCGGTCAATGGTCAATGGTTTAGTGTGTGTAGCACAAAGCCGCCTTGCAGGCACTACAAGCTTCAAGTTCGATGCATCAAGACATGGCAGGGTTTTTCACGGTAGCGTTATGTTTACGGAGTAAATTACGATCAACACGTTGGAGGGAGCTGTACTCTTCTCTCAATTTCATCTCACACTACCTACCTACCACTCCTTTTTTTTTTTCTTTTTTTTTTTTTTTAATGAACAACCCTAATTGTAGGCATGCGGGGAACCCCGTAGCAGCCAGAGCCGTGTTCACGAGAGCAACTACATCACTTCCGATGACAGAAAGCTCCGGAAAAAAAAGAAAAAAAAAAGGAAAAAAAAAAAGAAAGAAATTGTGCTGAGGCACAAACTTGCCCGAAGCTGTGGAAAGACTGCTTCGTGTTCCACAAGCACAAGAAAAGTGTAACTTCTACAAACACCCTCCAATCTGCGGGATGTCCTCCAAACAGCCCCCAGCAACTTTGGGAGTTTTATCTCCAAAAGATCCCTTGTGTCAAAGGCGGCGTGCTCACAAAGTACACCGTATGTTAAACCACCAGTACTTGACCCAGCTTTCAGCTGCGGAAAATAAATAGAGTAGAAACGTGTCTATTCGGATGAATTTGGTCGCTCCTGTAGTGGCATGTACGTTTCCTAAAATGATGGCTTGCATATGGGCGCTACTTTAGGATGTACTCGTGTTTTACCAACAAAATGCCAAAATTTTATCTGGCTACGTGCTGATTACGGTATCGACTAAATAGCAAATACAAACCTTTTTTTTTTTTCTTTTTTTTGAGACGATGCTCCAAATCTATTCGTGGGGAGCAACACGGCTAAATACATCCCTGCTTAGGTCTTTGAGAAAAAAACAGTGTATCGGTCAGGCAAGGATCTCAAGTGCCCAGAAACGGCTACAACGTTCTTTTCTTTTTTCTTTCTTTTTTGCTTTTTTCAGTGTATCGGTCAGGCAAGGATCTCAAGTGCCCAGAAACGGGTACAACGTTCTATAAATATGAACCTAGCAATTATCATCAATCGATCGCCGTGCTTCCGTGTTGTGAAAGAGAACCATGCCGGCATGCCGGATGGAATGGACGACTCCAAGTGAAATGAAATGCAAACTCTCAAAAAAAAAAAAAAAAAAAAAAAAAAAAATGGACTT